GTATACAGTGACAGCGACGTGCGAGGGTAAGCAAAACACTATAGGGGTGCCATAAAATAGTAAACGAGAAAGGGACACAAAGTTCAACTTATAACTCTATTCACGGTAGGCAAAATAATTATTTTGTGGTCAGTTTATCTAAAGTAAAGCGGAACGTGCCCAAGAGAATAGCAGCAAGAGAAGCAACGCGCCACAACCAGAGACCAACAACACGAAAAGCGCGTGACCTCACCCGCCAGGAATTTAATTGGTTAAAACAAATTTCATCAACTCCTGCGGTTAAATATTCTGGATCCCCGTGCTAAAGTACAAACACATACACACCGGGAGAGTGGCGTGATAATCCCCAGGTATTGTGAGGTTTTACATTCTCATGGGAAATATTGACATTTCAGAGGAGATAACCAAAATTTGTGTACAGAATCAGGACCGAAGATAGTGCGGAAACTTCAAATGGCATACGATAAAAGTGGGGACAAACACTTAACGGCGTATATCTATAGAGCAAGCGTGTTTAACAACCATATTACGGAATATATTCTTATGGTTGCCCGTTTAACTTATTTTAAAGCCATTGCATATGCAAAAAACGCAACTTGGTTATTGTTGGCCGCCTTAAAAAGCACTGTTTTTTTTCGGCCGATGCCATCGTTACCGCTGTCAAGAAAACAAGACCTTCGAAAGGCTTAGAATCAGACGGTCTGACGCCTATCCATTTGCGCCACATCGGCCCTACGGTGGCTGCCTACATGTCTGTCCTCTTCAACCGCTCGCTGGCCAATTCAATCATCCACGATTGCTGGCGCCCGTCGATCATTATCCCCCCTGGCCAAAGCGGGCAAGGACCCCAGCCTAGCGATCTCTTATCGCTGAACTGCCCATCTCAGTCCATTGGCGAATATCCTGCAACGACACGTTCCCGGCGGAACTGTGTTGCCATCAACACGATTTCCGATCAGCTTGTGGTACCACAACAGCGCTTTTCGAGCTAAATGACACCATCCTCGAGGGCTTTGATAACAAAAAACCCGCTTCGTTGACCGCGACAGTCTCACTTGACCTGTCACGAACCTTCGACTCCGTGCACCACAATAATCTCCTGCAGGAATTGTTCCCCCTTAACGTCCCGATTGGCCTGGTCCAATGGTTATCAGCTTACATCCGTGGCCGCCACGATGGTGTCCTTCTCCGTGGCGCTTTCTCTTAGCCCCGTAAGCAGACCTGCAACGTTCCTTAAGGCTCTGTGCTCAGTCCGACGCTTTTCAGCATTTACAGCGAGAGCTCCCACCCCCCGGGCACCTGCGCAAGTGGTATCGTAAGCAGACAACGTTACATTCTTCTGCCGGCTCTTCACGAGATTCATGCCTGATGTCGAAAACTTCTTCACCCAGCGCAGAAGGACGATCTCGGCAGCCTAGCCGTCCGTCACTGTTTTTACGCTGGATCCGAAGGAGTTTAATCGCCACCTGGCCTTCACCGTTAA